ATTCAGCTTTATATATAAGATATTCATTGAGCTTTGCTAAAATCTTCACTGTAAATTTCAAGCTTACAGTTCAAAAAACAGTCTTTGTTTTAAAAGAATAGTATTATGAGAGATTGTATCAACGAAATAAATGCATACAGTTAAGTGCGTATAAACTGTTCTCATGAATATTGCTTACCTATGTGATCCATTTATGAATAACGGATGTTAAAATTTGACTTTCTTGCTCCAAGATATTCAATATTCAACTATATATTATATTAAACGATATTCAACTCCCCCTCAATCAAATTAAAATGTTACAGGTGTCCGATCTTTATGACCAATATCAGCTATCAGATAAGATGGAGTTTGTTTTATGGTTGGAAGTGAGTTGAGCTGTACGACTGTTTCTCCCTGCTATTCAATTGTCTTTCAGACGCTGGGATTATCCTACGACGCAGCTAAGTTAGTATTCAAGGAAATGTATAATCTCGAACGCCGGATTGAAGGTGATTACCAACTCCAGATTGACGATGATGATTCCATACTCCAGACTACAGATGATGACTCCGAACCTCAGAGTGAAGATGATTAGATAATGAAATTGTATTCTTGTTAACTGCTTGTTCTTGAATAGCCTTGGCCTTTCCGGTGGTACGTCACTCTGTGGGAAATTTACAAGCTCTACTATAAACCAGGTAGTAGGCCACTGGTCCGTTAGCTTACGTAGCATGTACGCTGATACTTTGGAGCAGGAAGGCTGTCTCAATGGGAGTGTCAAAGCTCCAGCAGCTCGACTTGCAGGCTCTTTGCCGCTTGCGCAACCTTTTGAACATTTTCTACGCCTCCAGCTTTCGGTCTCTGCCTCAAGCCCGGGTAAACGCTATTAGATACGTTTACGAAAGCGGCACGAGACTTCAGCGAGCGGTAGCGACAACCTTGGCACTTACTACGAGACAGTCAGTGGCATGACGGACAACTATGGGATCATTCAAGTTATTATGGCCGGAACGAAAGAAAAAAGGTTCAGCAGGGTGGGCAAATGAAAAGTAAGTTCGCCTTTGCCACTCTCAAGTCTTAATAATATAACTTTCGGCGTTGTCGATTATTCGGAACGGGCAAACCTTCCTAATTTATTACTGCAAAGGAAAACCTTAGTAAAACCCCGAAAGATGAACACGTGAGGAGAAACAGTAGCAACAACAAAAATATTGTGAAAACGATTGGGTAAAATTATACCACGTGCAAATAACTTCTCAACATCACTTGGGCAGAAACTCCGGTACCAGTACTTTCATGCGTAATAACTCACTCGGGTAAGACAAAACTTCACATAAAATTGTTCCTTCGTACATTAAGCTTGTACAACCATTAGTTTTCTGGCACCACCCCTTGTGTTTGGAAGCTTGCTACCAGATCGCAAACTACGGCTCAATTTGTGCTCCATAGAAAATCTTATGAGCCATCGTTTAATCGACTCTGCGCTTTTTGTATGCAAAAGTCTTCAGAATGAATCTATTGCGACTACCATCTGGAACCTGCTCATAAACAAAACGATAATTGTAATGACTCATGAGTATCATATTGGACTTTTACCATCATTTGATATTGCGCTCGGGAAAGTGAATAGTACCATATTTAAGTGTAGACTCAATATGAGCTTAGTAAGATACAAACGTGT